GTCTGTGGGGGTCGGATGCGCGTCCCTGGTAGCTCAGCTGGTAAAGAATCCGCCTGCGATGCAGGAGACCCTGGTTTGATTCCCGGGTAGGGAAGATCCCCTGGAGAAGGGTTGGCTGCCCACTCCAGCATTCATGGGCTTCCCTGGGGGCTCAGACAGTAAAGAATCCGCCTGCGATGCAGGAGACCCAGATTCAATCCCTGGGTTGAGAAGATCCCCTGGAGAAGGGCATGGCAACCCACTCCAGTATTCGTGCCTGGACAATCCCATGGACAAAGAAGCCTGGTGGGCTACAGTTCATGGGGTCACAAGGAGTCGGACACAACTAAGCCATACACACATATGTGGGGGTCAGGGTCATGGTAAGGGTTCGGTCTGTTCGGCCGGCAACAGTTGTATCTGGCTTCCACCCAATGCAGACTTTTCCCCTAACCTGCCGACACTCTTTTTCCCACAGACATCTTGCACTGACCACCTGACTCCCTGCTGACTGGATGGAGTGCTGACCTGCCGCTTTCCGGGAGGTCTGAAGACCACAGGGATGGTGTCCCTGGTTAAGCGGCGAAGGGAGGTCTATGCGCTCAGCCTGCTGTCCTTTCTGATTACACAGTTTCTTAGAAGCAGTGAGAAAAAACAATTCAGATTTAGGTGGCCTCTTGGACTTTCAAATTCATTCTTGGATATTAATATTCTTTGCTGGATGTAGACCTACCCACTCCAGTGTTCTTGTCTAGAGAATTCCATGGGCAGAGGGGCCTGGTGGGCTCCAGTGCGTGGGGTCGCAAAGAGTCGGACGCGACCGAGCTCCTAACACTCTCACTTTTCAGACTCTGGGCTGACAGCTAGAGTCCTTTCAGCTCATGGACGACATCCGCTCAGACTTCTGCTGAGAAGTCAGTTCTCCTACAGCCATTCTCAGGAAATAATCCTCTACTCCAGCTGCTTTAAGAATTAGTCTTCAAATAAATTTTACTATTGTCTTTATATAGTTTTCTCTTTATTCTCCTGGAAATTCAGTGGGCTCTTCAATCTGTGAATTGGCTTATTTCAGTAGTTCGGGAAAATAAATCATTGTCTCTTCAGATTCTGACTCTCTTTCTCTCCTCTCTATGACTCTAAATAAATAAATAAATATGAGGCTCTCTAGCCATACCCCTAATATCTTTATTTTCTATATTATCCATATTCTTATCGCTCCATTCTTTATTTTGGCTATTTTCTTCCAACCCATCTTTCATTTCACTAACTTTCTCCATAGCCATGTCTAATTTGTTAAATCTGTACCCTGACTTTTCAATTTGGTTATCATATTTTTCACCTCTCATGTAAAACCATAATAGTTTCTCATTAGCTGGGCAAATATTTTCAAGACTATTTTATATTTCTTCATACACAGTACAGAGAATAGTTTCATGGCCTATGCCTAAGAATTACAGAAACTTAACATCTTGTGGACCTTGTTACCTGTTGTTTCCATTTGTTCTCACTTAAGAAGTTTTGAGCATGTATTTAACTTTGACTATGTGCAGATCATTTTACATGAAAAAAGGAGAGAGAGAGAGAGAGAGAAACAATTTGATGGACAACTTTCTGGTAACTTCTTTCAGGAAAGATTGTGTTTTGCTTCTCAGAAGCACTCTACTACAGTAGAGAAGTACCACAATCAAGGTTCAAATAATCCTGGCCCTCTCCGGTGATATAAGCTTGGCCTACAAGACTGCAAGAGGGCAGTTTCACTCCAGCTCTACCCTGAGGGTCAGGCTCTGGGTCTCAGCAAGCACCTGGGCATTTCCTGCACTCCCCTTCTTGGGCAGGCTAGGGTGTAACCCTCTCCCTCCATGAAGCTGTCAAAACTACAAACCCCGTTGGGATTGTTTCTTCTGGAAACAAGTACCCTCAGGACAATAGTGGCCTTCAGTCTGGGCTTATAAGAATTACAGAAACTTGTGGGCCTTGTTATCTGTTGTTCCTGTTTGTTCTCACTTAAGAGGTCTTGAATACATACTTAGCTTTGACTATGCGTAGATCATTTTACATGGAAAAAAAAAAGAGAAACAAAGCTAGAATTCTCACAGAATTCTCACAGAAGAGGGCCAGGAAATTTTTGTCTCCTTGTTAGCAGTTCAATGCTTTTAAGAAATGTTTTTCGTTTTACCTTCTTTCTTTGCTTTTTTTCTCCTTTCCTTCTGCTTCTGCTGCTGCTAAGTCGCTTCAGTCGTGTCCGACTCTGTGCGACCCCATGGACGGCAGCCCACCAGGCTCTTCTGTCCCTGGGATTCTCCAGGCAAGAACACTGGAGTGGGTTGCCATTTCCTTCTCCAATGCATGAAAGTGAAGTGAAAGCGAAGTCGTTCAGTCAAGTCCAACTCTTAGCGACCCCGTGGACTGCAGCCCACCAGGCTCCTCCGTCCGTGGGAGTTTCCAGGCACGAGGACTGGAGTGGGTGCCACTGCCTTCTCCAATGCATGAAAGTGAAGTGAAAGCGAAGTCGTTCAGTCAAGTCCGACTCTTAGCGACCCCGTGGACTGCAGCCCGCCAGGCTCCTCCGTCCATGGGATTTTCCAGGCACGAGGACTGGAGTGGGTGCCATCGCCTCCTCCCTCTGTCCTTCTACCCCTAACCCAATCTGCTTGTTTGTTGGCTTCAAAAAATCATCTCATCCATTGCTGCGGTCTCCTGGGTGAGAAATCTGGTTGGAGTTTATGCCCATCGCCACTAGAAGTGGAAGTCCCCCTGCCTCACCTCTTATCTCCCCAATTTAGTGACTCAAGGCTCCACCTCTCATTCTGTGGGAAGTTCTAAAACTGCTGCTCAGAGATCAGAGGTGACTCCCCTGGCGCTTCTCATTAGCCAGCCTCCCTCTCGAGACGATGACCACCCGACAGGCAGGCTCTCAGGCCGCTGCCCAACGCCCGTCCACCTGGCCTCCACTACAGACAAAACGTTCTCTCCTCAGTCATGCCAGATTTCTGTCCACGGAGCAGACTCTTTCTAAAGATTTGGCGGCAACAGAGAGTGGAGTAAAGCATGACTCAAATCAGAAAACTGCCTGAGAGTGTTTCCCAGAAAGTCTTTAGCCAGTCGTCACGGCAAGAAGATGAGACAGTGACCCCAACCCTGCCCTGACCTTCCGGCCCCTTCTGCGGCGCCCCCACCATCCGCACTGTCCCCCGCAGTCCAAGGCCACAGGGTCGTCCTTCATGAGGACAGTGAGCGAGGGGGGCCTGGGACGCCTCTCCCAGGGGTTGCTGATGAGAAGGAGTGCCGACACTTTCTGCCTGAAAGGCCCAGCAATTCTTCTGAGGCCGTCACAGAGGTTCTTTCAGGTCTGGCTGGAAGAAGAGTTACAGACAGGTTGCCTAGCTTAACCTGCTACCGAAGAGGGTGTGAAGCACCAATCATTTAAACAGAACCACCACAGGATGAAACCGCCCTCCTCAGAAGCCACGGGAAAATAAAAACTAAATAAAAAACACGGGTTTACTAAAAAGCCCAGGCCTGGCCGGGATTCCTTCGGTTGCTATCGGTGCTCTTTTAAACAATCACCCAGCGAATCTCTGATGTGCTGCTTCTGAACCACAGCACCAGAGAAAGTCGATTCAAGCATCCCTGAACTGCGGCCTGGAACAAGTGAGCACTAACCACACGTTTCCAACCTCCGCAGAAATGCAAAATCCACCTTCTTGGAGAAACAGGAGAGGAACCACTAAGTGTAATTCACGGCTCCTGCACATCATACTTCAAAGATCCAAATGAGGCTGGGGGGGTGCGGGGTGTGAAGCTGATGGCAGGGAAAAAAACCCAACAGCATCTGACAAAGATGTCCCCGCGAAGTTAAGAACAAATGTACATAAATGCAGTTATATAAGCAAAAAAACTGTGCTGTGAATAGGTGGCTGCCAAGCCGCTAAATATACTGAATCAGATAAAGTATTATTGGAAGAACCGTACAGAACTTCATAATATGGAAATTAGGTAATAACCATTAGACACAGCTGAAAATCAGATTCAATCAAGGGACAGAATGGAGTTGATAATTTGTATGACTCCGTTTTATAATGTCATTCGATCGTTTCCCAAAAAAAGACTCTTTCTTGGGAAGATGGGGACGGATACGCTGTCTGCTGCCGAGGGAACAGCAAGGGCAAAGGGGACATCCACACCCTCGGAAGGCAGCCCTGGGACGCCGGCGGGCGGCGTGTCTCCGCTTGAAGCGGAGTGCGACAGCTCTGCAGATTCGGTGAAGTCACCCATCGAGGTCACGTGGGGCTCAGGGTGACAGAGCCTGCCTCTCCCCGGCACAGCGCGGCTGACCGCCTGGTGTCACAGGCCCACACCCGGTTCTGCATGGTATCACTCCGTTAACGCTCTGCTCATTAATTTAACAAACGCTCAGAAGGGTACACTTGGAATGGGCCAGCATCATCTTTCAACATTCATTTAATTAAACCCTGCTATTGCAATGTGACAGTCAGCACATCACAGGGGGAATTATTTTAAGGACGAAGGTAGAAAGTATTTCAAAGCCCCCACTTACACATGAAAACGTAATCGAAAATGGCCGGGCACACACTATGATTTTTCTGTAATATTAAAGATGTTATTTTCCAACTCGTTAATTAATTGGATTCCGTGGAGAAATTACGCCGGCATCCTTGATAGCAAAATGACGTGCAGAGGAAGGAACACTGGGCCAGAGGCCGGCCATAAACAACCAGGCTGCCGCTGGGTGATGACAGCCGCCGGCTTTAATAAGAGTGAGGGTTGCCTGCTTCGAGGATGCGCTCGTTACTTCCTGTGAAGGGACGGCGCTGAACTCTGATTATATCGCCTTCATAAAGGGAACGGGAATGGCTCCGGCCCCAGCAGCGCCCAGGTGGCCCCAGCAGAAGGCGCAGCAGGGGTGGCGGGGGGGGGGGGGTCCCAGGATAACCGGGTGAGCCTTCCACCACCTTCTCCCCCGCCTCCCAAGAAGAGGGGCGCTCCGGACGCGGGCTTACCGTCAATGCGGCTCACAAGCTCTTCCAACATCTTCACTTTCATCTGAATCCCAGGTTGGGCGAATGTATAGTTGTCCTGAGGGGAAAATAACAGGGAATATCATATGCATGGAGGATAAAACCGGCTTTCCAAAGGGGAACAGGCAGTGGGGACGAAGGCGGACAGTTTGACAAGAGAACGAATTCACAAAGTGACCCACGCACACAGCGTGAGGCCGCGTCACACCACGCGCGTGCAGGCTGAGCCGGGAGGTGAACTCTGAAGCTTCCCCATGTCACCCACTCTGGGGAGTATTTACTGGGACATTTCTATATGTAAAGGCAGAGATTTACATTTAAATGGAACAGACAGCTCGCTGAGGGGCAGAGTCTGCCGGGAGTTGCTCTGGCCAGCAGAAGGGCAGAGTGCGCTCAGCACTGCAGGGGAGCTAATGGGAACCAGGGACCTGCTGGCACTACCCGCGTCAGGCCTGCCATCCAAGGGCTGAGGACACGGTTACGATGCGAGCACGGAGGGACCAGGGGGCTTCAGTCTCAGGCACTCAGGTGAAGAAGTTCATAAACTAAGACAGGAAAACCAGCGCAGCCAGTGGGCAGGGGCAGACCTGGAACGAGGGCCCAGCTCGATGCCTTAGATGCTGTGTGACATTAGCAAGGAACAGCACGTCTCTGGGCTTCAGCGGCATCATCTATAATGAGAATGGCAACGCTGCCTGTGGGACTGCTCCGAGGCTTCAAGGAGGCACGGTCACCAGCAGGCACCAAGGCTTCAGGAACAGGAGGCCCGGTGCCCCCACTGTCATGACCAGACAACACACGTTGGCAGGGGAGGAAGGTGGCGCCTACCAAGTCCTGCCCCAGGGCACCCCACAGAGCAGCCCTCAGGGGCCTCAGCCCACTGCACTCCTGCAGTGACAGACTTGCACTGGGTGATTACGGGAGGCGGGGTAGTGACCCCACCAAATACCCAGGGCCTGATTCCCAGCAAGGTGGGGGTGGGGGTGCAGGTGAAGGTTGCTAATCAACCAACTGGAACAGGGCAAGCACCCGGGTCACCCAGGTGGGCCCGGTGTGGCCGGGGCCCTAGGATGTGGAGGCAGGAGCGTCAGCATCAGAGAAGTGACGACACCGGTCCCCGCTTGGAGGACGGATGGAGGGGCCAGCAGACCAGCAAAGCAGGCTAGACAGAGGCCAGGGAGCAGCTCTCCTCTGGAGCCCCAGGAAGGAAGTGGCCCGGCCCACACCTTGATCCACACCGTGACCCGGCCACCCCGTCCCAAGGGCAGGTCCGCCTTCTAACCTCCAGAACTTGCTGTTGTTGTTCAAGCGCTAAATGGTGTCTGACTCTGTGAACCGTGGACTGCAGCACACCAGGCTCCTCTGTCTTTCACCATCACCCAGAGCTTGCTCAAACTCATGTCCATCGAGTCAGTGATGCCATCCAACCATCTCATCCTCTGTCGTCCCCTTCTCCTCCTGCCCTCAATCCCTCCTAGCATCAGGGTCTTTTCCAATGAGTCAGTTCTTCGTATTATGTGGCCGAAGCATTGGAGCTTCAGCTTCAGCATCAGTCCTTCCAATGAACACTCAGGACTGATTTCCTTTGGATGGACTGGTTTATTTCCTTGCTGTCCAAGGGACTCTCAAGAGTCTTCTCCAGCGCCACAGTTCAAAAGCATCAGTTCTTCGGTGCTCAGCCTTCTTCATGGTCCAACTCTCATGTCCGTACATGACCTCCACGACTGTGAAATGACAAATCCGTGTGGTTTCAAGCCACGAGGCGCTGTGCCTGTGGGTCCTTGAATATGAGTGAGTGGGTCCCGTTGGTTCAGGCAGGCGTGCGCTGGGCTGGTGCTGGGAGATGACGGCTTGTCCTCAGGGAGACATAGGTGGAAGGGGATGGGGACGTGGCAGCAGCACCCCCACACCACCTGCCCCGGGATCTGGGTGGGGGGAGGGCTCCAGGAGACACAGCCAGGAGGAGAGGACGACCTTCACGCCAGCAGTGATGTCTGAGGCCGAGCAGTCAGACGTGGCACCCAGGGGCTCCTGCACTGTCAGCACTCTCTGGGCTTAATGTGTCTGCACACAAGCACGTGCACACACACACACACACAGGAACACACACAAGCATGTGTACACACACGGGCACACAGTCATACACACGCACACACACTCATACGCACGTGCACACAAGCACGTGCACACACACAGGCACGTGCACACACACAGGCACACACAAACATGCATAAACACACACGGGCACAAACACATGTACACATGTGCGTGCACACATGCATACACAAGCATGTGTACACACACGGGCACAAACACACATACACACACACATCTTTCCTGACTAGAGTAGGAGCCGCAGCCACTACAAGACAAAACTAAAAATGCTTACAAGGCAACCACGATCTTTTCCCCACAAAAATGGAAAATGAGTGGACTCAGACCTAACTTCCTGCTGCGGTTTCTCCCGCGTGGATTTCAAGTGACAGGCCCTGGATCCCAGGCTGTCACGTCTCCACGAGGGCAACTCCAGCAGGAGGCACCGAGGCCCCACGTGCGCTCTGCTCGGCTCCACGTGGGGGGACGCACTCCGGGGCGGCTGCCCCACGGGACTAGAAGGATGTGCTTTGTAGGCAGGGTGATAAGCTGGTGGGTCTCGCTACACTGAAGTCTGGGGAAGAGAGGGCTGTCACAGACCGGTGCTGAGTGGACAGGAGCGCTGGGCCCCGAAAGGCCTGCGCGCGTCCAGAGAGACCCCCAGCCGCCCCTCCGGCAGAGACAGGCAGCGGCACGGAGCCAAAGCTGCCATGCAGCTAAACATTCACGGGTAGAGGAATTCTGGTTTTGGACTTAAACTTGCCAGGGTTAGCCCTTAAAAGACTTGATTTCTCTCCGGCACTTGGGTGACAGAGGAGATTCACACTTGAATTCGGGACACGCTGCGTAGCTGGAAGCTTCCACGCTGTCATCTCACCTCACGGCAGCATTTCCGATGAGCCGGCGGAAGCAGTCAGGCTGGACGTATTTAAGGATGAGAAATAACCTAAGAGTGGTTCTGCAGTCTCAGGTAGAGGCCTTACAGATTACTGGATTACTGTTCAGGTCTGACGAGCTCCAAAGCCGTCAGGACCAGGCTCAGACGCCCCCTCCCCGCAGACCCAGGAGGATACTCAGAGGAGCAGGGGTTCCGCTGGGGGCCGGCCTGTTCCTAGAGGCGGCGGGCTCTACGGGGGCACCATGTCCCTGGCTGAGCGGGAACCTCACGGTTATGCAGACAGCCAGCTGAAGGAGCTGGGGACAGCGGCCCTCAAATCCGGTCTCAGCTTCCAGGCGGAGAGGGTCCGGCCGGTGCCTCTCCTGCCTGTTCTCCATCCCCAGAAACACTGGCCCCAAGAAAGCGACCGACCACCCGCGACTCCCAGAGTCGAGACCACCAGTAGGCCCAGCCCTCCGCCCAGCTCTCAGAACCGGCCGCTCCCCCGGGAAGGCTGCTCCCCAGCACAGCTCTGCCACACGCGGGGAGCCTGCCCGGGCCCAGGGCCAGCTCCGACACAGAGGGTCAGCCTGAATGACCCCCAGATTCAGTCCGCCGGTTTATTTGGCTCTCACACTAAGATAGGACTTCAAGCTTCTCATTCAGAAGAAATAAAAATTATTCTTCGGTCTCCATCTGCCACTGTTTTGTTTTATTTCTCAATTTGTTCAAAACCCAGGAAGGGGAGATGAGTTCTCGTGAAAATCCAAATAGTAAGAAAAGAATAACACCTGAGAGTCTTCAAAAAAAAGCCTGTATCACGAAAGGTCGTGAGAAGACTGACAGATGAGGCCTCGGTGTCTGGACTTAGGAAGGGGGTGGGCGCGGGGGCAGAGAAGACCCGCCGCAGGTCAGTCACAGGGGGGTCAGTTGAGGGGTCCAAGCTGAGGACCGTGCCCCTCGGCAGCCAGGAAGCCTCTGAAGGACACACCAAGGACGTTCCAGAGCCGGAGGCTGAGCCAGAAGGCGTGAGGTGCCCGCAGCAGCCTCCCAGGAGTGGCACCTGGCCCCGAAGGCGCCCAGCAGGCTCCTGCAGCCTCTGACGAGATCCCGAGTTCTTCCGGCTGAAGGAGGGGGCACCGACCCCAGCACCCGTCCACACCCCCGCTCTGCCCGCACACACACACACCTGGCACCGAACCTATCCGCTAAGAAACAGGAAGTATCTGCAGGCAAAATAGGAAGCAAGCGAGAATACTGTGTATTTATACAAACAGTCACAGTAATAATATGATAACACTCCATGAAAAGCAAACAGGCACACATCTGCAAGCTGAGATTTGATTCTGGGTCTTTAAAGAATGATAGAAGAATACAGAAAACTTATTGCTCGGAGAGAGGGAAGGAAGGTCTGAAGAAATACAACGACCTTCTGGGAAGAGATTTTACAGAAGGTAAAGTCCGTATCAGCAGGAAAAAAACTCAAAGCACGCACACCGGGCTCGCCTCACACTTCGGCCATAACCAACAGCACTTCTGGGCTCTTCAGAGGAAAAGCGGACTAAATCCTTCTGGAGAAGCGTCTCGGACAAGGGTGGGCAGGTTCACTCGTGTCAGCTGAGCGGGAGGATCAAGACCCAGCCCCTCTGTGACAAGGGGCCATGCCCGACCAGAGACACAGGCCCTCAGCACACCCCACCGCCCTTCCCGGCCAGTCTCTGTGGGAAAACGCCCTTCCGAGGCTGAAACCAAACCTGCCCCTCTCACGCACCCTGGGCCTGCATCTGAACACCTCGCGACACCAGGCCCTGTTTCAGGCCCCCTGTGATCCAGTGAGTGCAGTGAAGGCATCAATCCATCCAAGACCAGTGCAGTGTGGACGGGGTCGCCCCAGGACACGTGAGGCCTTGCTTCCCCAGCCGCGTCCCCTGCCCTGGGAGGGGACCTCCAGGGATGTCCCGGGCGTGGCCTTTCTCACAAGCTCCCGGGAGACCCGGCCAACTCATGGCTTGGGAGATAAGCATCTCCGGCAACTCCACAGGGGCAGGACTCCTGGCAGTGCGCGCCGGGGTCCCTCTGGGCCTTTT